CCGGAGCGCGCGAGCTCGGCGGGGCCGCCAAGCCGGGGCCGGGCGGCTGTCTGAGCGCCGCGTTCCTGGCCGCCTCCTCCAGCCTCCGCCCGCCTTTCAACGCTTCGCTGATGCTCGACCCGCACGTCCAGGGCGGCTTCTACCAGCTCGGGATTCCCTTCCTCTCCTATTTCCCGCTGCAGCTCCCCGACGCCGTGCTGCACTTCCAGTAAAGCCAGCAGCGGCGCGTTCTCTCCCCGCCCCGACCCAGCCTCCTCCGAGCGGCCGAATCCCACGGGGAAGGGCTCCTGTACTTTGCAAAACGGCCTGGGCCTGGGCCGACGTGTGGACGTGGACGTGTCTGACCTCTGCGCAGGTGGTGGGCACGCCTGCCTCCTCCGCAGGGACTTTCTCCTGGAACCCGGGGGATTGGGAGACTTAAAAGACCCTTTCCCCGAGACTTGGGCATCGTGACCCCATTCCACCCCAGTGGAAAAATTCAGAGACTAGAAGTCACTGTCACAGTGCGACCTTCGACCTTCGGCTCTCCAGCTCTCCTCCGAAGAGGCAGGGCGTCCCGGCGCGCCCCCCCCCCCCCCCCCCCCCCCGCCCAGCCGAGTGGCCTCAGTTGTAGCTGTGTGGCCCGGGGACTTTGAGCCTGTCTGGGTGGCTGTCGACACCTGGGTTGTTCCTGATGTCTAGTTGTGAGGGTTCGGGGAGGGACCCCTGTTTTCCAGGTTTTTGGTTGGACGCAGGGCCTGGCTGAAATTCACAGCCAAGGGTAAGGGGCCACTGGAAGCCACTCACTGTAGGGACATGTTTGCTTTTAATAGAGCGCTGTCCTCTCCATTTCTTTCCAGACAGTGAAAGGAGCATGCTTTTCTCTTTGGCTAAATACTGGCCCCTTTTCTACGAAGAAAGCACCCTCTGGTGCCGGCACTGCAGGTCTGGAGCCAGTCACCACTAGCCCATGGTAGCAGTGCTCCTAGCTTTCCGCTTCTGTTTCTTAGGGATCCAGGGGCTCCGGAAGGCCGTCAGGGGTATGCCTCAGAAGACTCAGCTTCATTTCTCCGTTTCTCAAGATTCAGGTTTGGTGTTTGCTACATTTTCCAGACTCATACAAAGGGCTCCATTTATCACAAAAGTTAGGTGGAACAAACAAACAGAAAGCAGATGGCCACAGTGACGGGGTGCCGTGGGAGCGTGGCTGTGTCAGCTGAGAGGTACCCCTCTGGACACAGGCTGAGGCTGCTTGTGGGATTGTTGCAGACTCGCCCCGCCGGCTGCACCCCTCCTTCCCAGCCCCCACCAGGCAGGCCTGGAGGCTGGAGCAAACACAGGGAAGAGGTGAGTGGAAGCCTGGTGGTGGGCAGGGCTGTAACAGTGGGGATTTTCACAGCCTGTCCCTCAACCTCTCACGGTCGGTGTTGGTGTCGCTGGGCTGTTGTGAGCATTCTGAACTTTGGTCTTGTGACCCTCCAGGTAACTTTTATTTTATCTGATGTAGGAAAGGCACTCAAAAAGTCTTCTATTTTTGGAAAGAGGCTGAGGGGACTCTTCAGATAAATTTAAAGTGCTTTCAGGGATGGTGTAAAAGTGATTGTGAACTTCCAGTCCAGAGGCCCCGCTGGCCCGTCGGAAGGGCCATCCCCAGCAAGCAAGGCCGTTTAATGACTGGTAGGTGCAGAGCTGCCTTCCTGCCCAGTCCATCCCCTCATGCTGGCTGTGAACCTCTCCATGACTACCCAGGCCAGGCGGGCAGGGGGCTTTGGTGAGCAGCAGTGACCCTGGCGGGAAGAGCTCCTCAGAGACCCAGGCTCACCGTGATGCCCATGCGGGCGGAAGGGCGGTTACTGGGCATTTTCTTATCCGGAACTCTCAGCCTCTGCGAATAAAGTTGGTTTTTCATTAACCTCTCAGTGACTGGTTCAGCGAATTACTGGGGAAGTAAACAAACAGTGTAACAGGAAAGAGGAGGCCGGGTTACTATCGGGACCTGTCAGCATCTCGGAAGGCTCTGGCTGCAGGTGGGGTAAACACGCAGATTGTGCGGGCTGGGGCGGGGCACAGGCTGCAGACTTGCACGAGTGTCGGAAGGCAGTCTGGGTGTTGGACATGTTTCCAATTTTTCTTTTCCTTTTTGTGTTTGATATGCTATCTTGCATGTTTTTGTTATTTGTGATGACTAGTTTTTTGAAGAAGTAAGCAAATACTTTAACCCTGCTGCCTCCTTCCCAGCCCCCACCAGGCAGGCCTGGAGGCTGGAGCAAACACAGGGAAGAGGTGAGTGGAAGCCTGGTGGTGGGCAGGGCTGTAACAGTGGGGATTTTCACAGCCTGTCCCTCAACCTCTCACGGTCGGTGTTGGTGTCGCTGGGCTGTTGTGAGCATTCTGAACTTTGGTCTTGTGACCCTCCAGGTAACTTTTATTTTATCTGATGTAGGAAAGGCACTCAAAAAGTCTTCTATTTTTGGAAAGAGGCTGAGGGGACTCTTCAGATAAATTTAAAGTGCTTTCAGGGATGGTGTAAAAGTGATTGTGAACTTCCAGTCCAGAGGCCCCGCTGGCCCGTCGGAAGGGCCATCCCCAGCAAGCAAGGCCGTTTAATGACTGGTAGGTGCAGAGCTGCCTTCCTGCCCAGTCCATCCCCTCATGCTGGCTGTGAACCTCTCCATGACTACCCAGGCCAGGCGGGCAGGGGGCTTTGGTGAGCAGCAGTGACCCTGGCGGGAAGAGCTCCTCAGAGACCCAGGCTCACCGTGATGCCCATGCGGGCGGAAGGGCGGTTACTGGGCATTTTCTTATCCGGAACTCTCAGCCTCTGCGAATAAAGTTGGTTTTTCATTAACCTCTCAGTGACTGGTTCAGCGAATTACTGGGGAAGTAAACAAACAGTGTAACAGGAAAGAGGAGGCCGGGTTACTATCGGGACCTGTCAGCATCTCGGAAGGCTCTGGCTGCAGGTGGGGTAAACACGCAGATTGTGCGGGCTGGGGCGGGGCACAGGCTGCAGACTTGCACGAGTGTCGGAAGGCAGTCTGGGTGTTGGACATGTTTCCAATTTTTCTTTTCCTTTTTGTGTTTGATATGCTATCTTGCATGTTTTTGTTATTTGTGATGACTAGTTTTTTGAAGAAGTAAAGCAAATACTTTAACCCTGCTGTTTTTTTTAAAGGATAATATTTTATAAATATTATCATACAAAGCATTGTATAAACATTTTTTAGGGTAAAGAAGAGAATGCAGGAGTATGCGTGTACATATGTGTTTATACAGACGTGGGGAGCAGTTCTGCCAGATCCCTGCTTTCATCTGGTTCAGGGTAGAGGGACATGGCGTGGGTCGTCTTCTCTGGACTCACACAATTGTGTGAGCCTTGCTTC